GCCGCCGGGTGCCTCGACGCCGCCGCCGCCGCGACCCGCCGCCGACGTCGCCGCCTCGATTGCCAAGGGGTCGACCCGCTGGTAGACGCCACAGCTGCTGCACGACTTGGGGTGTTGCGTGTGGGGTGGGTTTTGCCACTACCAAGACTAGGGGGTTCGTCAAATTATATATACATTATATATATTTGTATAGGCTTGGTAGATGTGCTACATTACTGGATCCTACTGTCGAGGGGACAACCCCCCCTTCTTGTATCTCTTCCTCTTCCTAGTCGACCCTCCTTTCTCTCGGTATTTCTCTTTCTAGCAAAAACCTCTTGACATTTCCTATGCCTAGCTAGCTCCTTAGCTCTTTAACATAACACCCTGTTAGATGTATATCCCTTAAAATCACCGGCTAGAATAGCAAAGGGGGGGCACACTTGAAAATTGATTTTTTAAAAAATGCCCGTTTTGCAGTGGTGTATCTACCCCGACGCGAAAAAACAAATGCTACGATTTTGCAGCACGCAACCATTGACTAACGGAACAAAGCGGATCGTAACTCACCAGGGAAACACATGGCGACAATCTCGATGGTCGCAAGGCTCAACCAAATGAAGTCTATGCGAATACCCGTCACAAGGGCAGAGTTTCAAGTGAGCCCCAGGTGTGCTATTGCTGATCAGATGTAGGGTACCCGGTACCTACGCTAGCATAGCACGGCTCTCCAGCCATTTCCCAGGTCTAAAAAATCTGCCAACATCACAAAAATCTGCGGTCGAATTCCAACGGAAACTGGCTGGAATTCGGGGAGTACACCGGAAATCAGGCGGAAACCAGTGCATTGGTTGCATGTAAGTTCTGTATAGTAGAATGACTGGATACCCAGCGATTTCGAGGACATGCGACAGGTGGAAAATCGGGAGCTGGAAATCCGACGGACTTCCACCAGATTTCCGAAAAGGCTCCTGCAGGGCATCTCAACCAATCGGGTATTAACTTTGATAACACCATGAGTGTATGTTATACAAACAGTTGGAATTCCAATGTATTATCAAGAAATCCCAATATACTTAGCTCTACAATATGCATTACACAAGAAATGTTCCGAAGAAATATTCATACATTTGAACAAACAACAGATTTTCGAAGCCACTAGCTAAAAAGGCAAACGCAGGGCTCTCTTGAAACTACTTTTTTTTTTTCCCACTAGAGAAAGATATTGCAATTCATTGAAATGACAGCCTAACAAACCCGAAAACCGAAAGCGATGTCCAGTGAGGACAATCATTGGCGTGCGGCAACATCTGCACGTTTTGCACAAACCAAACAAACCATACGGCACATTGCACTTCGCAGCACAACACTCGGGGACTGTGCCATGCAACCAAACCCCTCCTGGCACTTACAAGAGAGGCTTGGGTTTGTTTTAGGTGCGGTGTAGACCCCAGGGTAGAGCCACCCCACCAGCGGAAAAAACGGTGGTACGCCTATTTTCTGCCTCACAACCTAGGAAAGTCTGAGCGCCGCGAGGCTAGGAACTCTGCTCCGTGATCAGCACGAGGCTGCGGCAGAGTTCCGGCACATCGAACAGGCCATAGCGCCACTCTCTCTTCTTTCTCCCCTCTCGCACGTCGCGCATCTCGTCCCTCTCGCCCGTCACGCATCTTGTCCGTCTCCTCCTCTCCCGTCTCGCAACCCGTCCCCACACCTCTCTCACGTCGCGCAAATCGCCTTTTTCGCGTTCATTGTCACACAAGAAAAACCCATCGAGGGACAACAAGAGTGAGGTCCGAAAGTCCAGCGCGATGATAATGGGAGGCCGCATGCGCGCACAGTCAGGACCCCATACGCGACGAAGGGATGAGGTGCGATATTGCAGGAGGGGAAGGAATGGAGAGTGAGACAGCAGAGGGGGGTTGAGGGAAGGGGAGAGAGATGCACGAGAGGACGGAAGGGATCATCACAAAACAACGTCGCCGAAACTCGGCGAAATTTTGGCTGAACTCAGCCAAGGGGGGCAAATCCCGACGGAAAACAGTACCAATCTTCCGTCCGAATTCGGAATAGTGGGGCGACTGAGGGCCGGTTGAGTCTCGGTGGAACTTCCGACAGAAATTAGAGTCACAAAATCTGCCAGTGCTCAACGTGATTTCAGGTGGAAATGTGGGTGACACCATCGAGCGATATCAGAAACTGTAGACAAATGTGACTATTAATTAATTTAAATTTGTACACAGTAATAAAAAGACCCTAACCATGATTATCGCAAACAAATCTTTGTACACGTCATCGCCGAAATAATGACACGTAGATGCAATCTGTCGCAGCTGCACACACCACATGGCAGTATGAAGCGGCACCAAATTAAACTATAAATTCGTTACAATTTTGTAAAAACACGTATAACCAAATACAGGGTTCAACACAGGGTGACATTTGTTCGTATCGTGACAAATCATGTGAACAACTGCATGTTACATAACACGACCGACACAAAATAGCACTAAAACATGGTGCAAAAGTGAGTCACATTTTCAAGAAGCTATATTCTACCGACAGATAACACGACACTGCTTCACCCCATTCTACGTTTGTTCATTGTGCCGTTCCGTCAGCTCATCTCTGCAAAGAGTCCCATTTCTGTGAATCCCTGCAGCCCTCGGACAGCGAACAGATCATCAGAAACAGGAGACCAGAATTGACAAAACGGAATAGCAGCAGCGTCACTTACCGGAAATCATGCCTGCATGTGCTGCTGCTGCAACATATACGCCGATTGTAGAAGCACAACGGAAAGGTGAAATCAGGTAAAGCAACGGTAAAGCTTGCAAGGGGCTTGCGTCCATGAAAGGAAAGGGTGATGTTGTTGGTTATACCAGCTTCAACGAAACACCTCCATGGGAAACAAGAAAACACGGGAATGAAGGAGAGAGAACAGTGGAATCAGAAAAAAGATCGGCAAAAAGCACAAAGAATGAAAAAGGTAAGGTCAATAAGTCAGCAAACACGATGGCGAGGAGCTTATATTGTGCTACGCTTGTTAGATGATACTAGACCAGAGGGGATGGATGGGAACTCGTAAACCTGGGATGGTGTGCTCGAACAGACACGGTAGTAGAGCAAATGTGCACCAAGAATGACTGTTAAGGTTGTTGAACGGGATGAAGCAAACGTGGTGGGTGGGTGGGAGGGGGTGTGGCTCAGGTGTGGGAAGCCTTCCGTTGCTGATAGGGATAAGTTGCACAGTAGAGTAACGTGTTTGCTGGTGGATTGGCAGGTATTTGTGCCATGCTGTCATAGAACGGAGGGCTAACAACTTCGGCGTACTCAGATATGTTACACATTGTTTACAGCTTCGCTGAGAGTGAATACGAACCTGGCTATGCAATTGGCTGGAGCTGGCAGCCGAGGGCGAGAATGCTAACTTGTAATGCAAATGCGCCAAAGGCTTGCCAGCAAGCAACTGTACTCCAATTAGCTGGGAGAGCCAAAATCGCGCCAAACAGCATTCCGATTGGCTGCGCAAATCTGATTATGCGCCAACTCACCTCGTCCTTGGTTTGCTGCTCAATCAAAGCATACAATTGGCTGGGTTGTGCAGGCAGCTAAATCGGGCTTGTCTCCGCAAATGAACCTCACTGGCTGCAAAGATGCCAGCGATCTCAGGCAAACTCAAACAAAACATTTTATTTTGAGTGCCAACAAGGCGAGTACGTCATTTGCTGGTTAGTACTTAACACCTTATGGTGCTTCTTACCCAATACTAGCACATATGAGTGGACAACAAATGCAGAGGCAAAAGTTATGCTCGATGCAGATTGGTGAATACAAAGACCTGCAACCTTGTAAAGTGATGTTAGAACTCAAAAGGATTGGATGGTTTGCTTACCACCATACCCTTATACCACCAAGATAGCATCATCATTTTACATTCCTCGATTTGTGCTAACATGCTGAAAATGGGCGAAGTAACTTGATATCTACGCACATGTGCATGTACAATTTTTTGACAAGTATTATGCCATGGAAAGATAGTATTTATTTTAAATATTTGAATATTATTTCGACACTATGCCTCCTTTTGGAGCGGGAAGGAGGGTGATATGACCAATCTTAGGGTACATTCCTACGAGCTACGGCTGTTTAGCTTTTGTTAGTTCGGTGAAGATTTCCCGTGTCGCGCGGCAGTTTATCCCAACTTCTCGTCACATTGTGTTTTTCGACTTACGACATTTTGCAACCCTACTGCTATGCCAGATGGCAATAGTTGTCTTGCGGATTTCAATAGGCACGTTTCGACAGTGGCACATGTTCAAATCGCAATTTTGGAACCCGAAATTTAGCCGACCCATGCAAAGTGTGAAAAGGGCAGCACATGCACAGAAATTTGTGTATCACCTGCACAAAAGACACCTCAAATAGCAAACAAACCAGCAGATAACAATGTCCACAATCGTGCACCCCACCAGCTGCGCTTCCCGCACCGTGCGAAAAGGCACAATATCTCGTCATGGCCGGCGACGAGGACATACCCTGGCTGTCGCGCTTCCTGATCCTGTGTATGTCCTTCTACTACGAGATATGGCTCAGCTCTGCCGCCCAGGCATACATCGAGCAGCTGGAAAGAGACGAAACAACAGCCGCAAATGTCGCCCCCTCCCGAACAGAGGAACGAGCGAAACAACGTGACAGAAGGAGACGACGTCTACAGCTGTGGGTGGAGGATTTGGACAACATGGATGATGACACAATGATGGACATGTACTGGGTGAACCGTGCTATATTGGACTTGTTATAATCACAATAGGCTTAGATGTGCCTATAATGAGAGATAGAGAGCACAGTCGGATTTCCGTCAGACGGCTTCAAATACTGATAACGATCTGGTCACTGAATCAAACGGTGATGTGTAAATTGGATCTGGAGCGTGTTGCTGTCGTCTATCAGCAGCAAGTTGAATCATGAAATTCCATGAAGATTTGACGACGCTATGGCGGTTTGACTGGCAGGAGGTATAGCAGCCACTATAGTCTTGGAAGTACAAACTTAGCAAGAAGAGTTCGAGAGGGAGATGGTTCCCAGCCTCTACATACCCCAAGAGCCGAGGTCTAGGTTGGTGGTACACCAACACAGAGTCCCCAACCATGAAGAGTCTCGAAACCAACCCTCCAAGGGGCTACACCAAGTGAAATGTAACACTACACGAAGTAACGTTACTATTTTCACTATTTAATATTTATCCGCGTCCCTTGGGCTTGAAATCTTGAGCTCTTGTTCCTGGATCTGCAAGATAAATTCTTCTTGAGTTGATGGGGGCTTGCTGCACACACCTGCGACACGATCGACACTTCACACTCGACAAAATAGAAAAAACACATGCGACACACAAACGACGACTTGACATGCGAGTTGTAAAAACTCGCTAATGTCTTGACCGACACAAACCACATTGTGATACACCATTCAAACACACACACAAGCACTGGATAGCAATGACATAGACTCACAATTCATTCCATGCCATGCATGCACACACACAAACAAGGACGACAAGCCGAGTGCAAGCCATAGGGTTGCACCAACAAACTCCCCCTCGGATTGTTGGCCTTAGAATCTGCTCCCCTTAGTTCAGAGCCATCCCAGCAAGCTTGCAACACTTCCAATGCTGCTGCTCAACCAGCCTCTTGGTCATCATATCAGCAGGCTGCGCCGTCGTCTTCACGTAGTGCAACTCCACTTCACCCGCGGTTACCATGCTCCTCACCCAATGCCACTTCACCTTCATGTGCTTGGTAAGGCCATGAAGAACGGGGTTCTTAGCCAATGCAATAGCACCCTGGCTATCACAGTAGAGTGGGGTAGGTCCTTGCTGCTCCTCCCCCAATTCAGCTAGCAAACGCCGCTGCCACACAACCTCTCTTATGGCACGGAAGAGTGCCATGTACTCGGACTCCACCGAGCTCAATGCTTGGTCCACTTGCTTCTTGCTCTCCCAAGCTGTTGGCCCTCCACCAACACAGCAGATGAAGCCTCCCACACTTGTCATGTCCTCTGGTTCTGATGCCCAAGATGCATCAGAGAAGGCGGTGAGAAAGAGCCTCCCGGGTTCGACTCCATCCGCACCCTTTTGACGCCTTTGTGCCGCCGCGGAGTATTGCAGTCCAACAGTTGCTGTTTGGCCAAGGTACTTGGCCACTCTCTCTCCAGCTGCTACCTGCTCTTCATTAGGGCATTGGACAACCCTAGCCAGCTGCCCGGTAGCAAAGGCTGCATCCGGCCTTGTGTGAACGGCCGCATACATGAGGCTGCCCACCAAGGAGTGAAAACGGCGCCTCTCCTCTTCACCAACACTTTCCTCCGCTGGTCCTTTCACACACTTGAACCCTGAGGGAAGAGGAGTAGCCACATGACCTTCACTCTTCCCAAAGTTTGCAGCCAAGGCCTCCAAGTACTTCTTTTGATGCACTCGCATCCACCGCTTCTCCACATCTCGCTCAATGTGAAGCCCAAGGTAGTAGTTGACGTCACCAAGGGTCTTGCACTTGAACTTGTCTTGAAGCTTCAGCATCACCTCCTTCACAAGGTCAGAGGAGGGTGAGAATATAAGGATGTCATCCACATAAACCACCATGAAGCTCCTCTGCTCCCCCTCGCCAAGCATGAACAACGATTGATCGGCCGTTGAGGGAGTGAAGCCGATCGCCTCCAAAACTTCCCGCAGCTTGATGTACCATTGCCTAGGGGCTTGCTTGAGGCCATAGAGTGCTTTCTTCAGCTTCCACACTCTGCCACTCCCATCATTGTACCCCTCTGGCTGCTCCATGTAGGTTTCTTCCTCCAAAACGCCGTTGAGGAAGGCCGTTACGATATCCATTTGCTTCACCACCCATCCTTTGATGGCCGCCGCGGCGAAGAGGGTTCGAAGGGTTGTACCCTTCACCACAGGAGCATACACTTCATTGTAGTCCTTCTTCTCTTGCTGCTGATACCCCTTGGCTACAAGTCTGCTCTTGTAGCGCTCGATGTTGCCGTCGGCGTCGGTCTTGCGCTTGAAGAGCCACTTGGAAGAGATCGCCTTACGCCCCGGAGGTAGGTTCACCAAGTCAAACGTGTCGTTCTCGATGATGCTCCCCATTTCTTCATCTGAGGCCTTCTTCCACTCCTTCCCATTGGGGCCCTCCCAAGCCTCCTTGGGATTTGTAGGCTCCCCCGGCATCTCCACCGGAGAGAAGAAGGCAAAGGCGCACTCCTCGCTTTCATCTTCCGCATCATCGCCTAGCATGAGAGCCGAACCGGTCAAGGTTGAGTTGGCTGGTCTTCCAAGCCGATCATAGCTCAACCTATTAGGGGGCTGAGTTCTCCTTCTCCCCCTTCCTTCCTCCTCTGCTGCAGGGACTTGAATGCTCTCATGGCGTTGCGGTAAATCTGGTCGGTTCCCACGAGCACTTGTAGCACGAGGCGGAAGTGACGGTGCACGCTCATCACCTTGCTGCACCTCCTCCTCCTCTTCATCCCCATTCATTTGAGGAGATTGCCTCGTGACTGTGCTGCTGCTACTCAGCTCCAAGGGCAGCTCCACATGCTCCAAGCCGTTACTCTTCACCTCTCCAAGCCGCATACCAATCTTCGCTTGGTTCTCCGCCTTCCACTCCTTGTACGGTAAGTTCTCCATGAACTTGCAATCTCTGCTCACCAAGAACTTCTTGGTAAATGGGTCCCAAAGAAGCCATCCCTTGCTGTTTTGAGCCATGCCCAGGTGCACGGCCCATGTTGCCTTGGCATCAAGTTTGTTGTGCCGAAGTTTCTTAGGCACAAGTGCCATGCACATGCACCCGAACACCCGAAGCATATCCACCTTCGGCTTCCTTCCAATCCACTCCACATAGGGCACCCATTTGTCTTCTCCCACATGAGTCAAGGCTCTGTTCTTGGCCACACAAGCATGCCGCACCGCATCCGGCCAAAAGTAATTGGGAAGACCGGCTTCAATGAGAAGTCCCCGAGCCGTCTCCGTGAGTGTCCGATTCGCACGCTCGGCGATGCCGTTCATTGCAGGAGAGTAGGGCATGGTAAGAGAGTGCCTTATGCCCTGCTTCTTCAGCCAAGTTGAGAAATCCTTGCTCAGGAACTCTCCCCCACGGTCAGTGCGAATCGCCTTCACAAGTCGGTCTTGTTGCCGCTCCACCATCGGCAACCAATCGGTCTTCACCGTTTCAGCTACGTCACTCTTCTTCGGCAGCACATACACCCAAGTCATGCGAGTGTAGACGTCCACAATGGTGAGGAAGTACGCAGCTCCAGCAGCTCCAAGCTTCAAGGGGCCCACCACATCCATCACCACCTCATCAAGTGGTGCCTTCGCCGTTGTCTCCGAGCTATGGAACGGGTAGCGGGTGAACTTGGCTTGCATGCATGTTGGACAGCCAAGCACCTCATTGGGCTCCCCCTTGACACGTATCCCACTGACCATCTCTTGCTTAACTATCTGCTGCAAAATGGGCAATGCCACATGCCCCATTCGCCGATGCAAGGTCAGCCAATCACACTCTCCCGTAGCGGAAGTCGGGTTGGAAAAACTCGCAATCGTGTCCCACAAGCTCTCTCCTTTCTCCTTCGCCGCTGCTGCTTTGCTGATCTTAGGTTTCCCCTCCTCATTTCCACCACCTTTGGCTGCTGCACTACTCTCCTTGGGTTCACACGCCTTGCTGGTCTCTCCAAGATTGCACTCCTTCGAGTCACTCCTGGTGTCACTTTGTTTTCCGTGATCACCGCCACCATCCGCTTCACTCTTGGTGCTGACGCTTGCTGCCACTTGCCTCTCCTTAGGCATGGGGACCACTGGGATTTGCCACATCTCATTGTAGATGTCCCTGTCCTCATGAAGGTCCCAAAGCTTCCGCTCACCAAGCCTCGCGGTATATGTTTTCGAACCCTTGGAAGATGTGTCCATGCCGGCCTTTTGCAAACGCCGAACGGAAATCAGGTTGGCTGCTAGGTTGGGCACCAAAAGCACGTTCTTGAGGCCCACCATCTTCCCATCAGCACCCTTGAACATGGCCTTGCCCATGCCTTTCACCTCTGCTCGCTGTCCCAAAGCCGATGTAACATGCTTGACCGGCGACGGTTCGAGTTCGGTGAGCAAGTCCGCACGAGGTGTCATGCTATAGGTGGCGCCGCTATCGATCACCCAAAAGTCCAGAGAGTGAAGGGTGACCTTTCCCACAGTAGCTGGCTCCTCAAAGCCTTCCACACCTCCTGCTGCAGCTGCCGCTTGCGTGGAGACAAAGAAGAATTGGCCCGGGTATCGATCTTCACTCGAGTCCTTGTCGTAGTCTCCACCTTTCATGCTTGCCGCTTCGCCTCCACGGCCACCACGGCCTCCACGACCTCTGCCTCTTCCTCCCCTTGCTCCTCTGCCCTCTTGGCCTTGAGAGGGGGTCCAGCCATCAGGTAGTTTGAAGCAATCTCTCCACATGTGGCCGGTCTTGTGGCAAAAGTGGCATTCGCCATCAAATCGACCGCGCCCACGCCCGTAGCCATTGTTGTTGCTGCCATATCCTCCATTACCACGGCCTCCATTGAAGTTGCTGCTGCCAAAACTGCCTCCTCGCCCTCTGCCCCTTCCACGGCCGTGCCCACGGCCCATGCTTGCAACTCCGGCACCATCGGGACCCGCCAATTCGCGACGGCGGAAATCTTCTTGTAAGATTTCCCGCTTCACATCTTCGAGTGAGAGACGGGGCAGATCTCGATTAAGGTTGATGATGAGCGAGGACCATGAGTCCGGAAGTAAGGCTAGCAGCTTGGTCTTCTTTTGAAGGTCACTGTAGTTCAGGTCAGCTCCTTCGAGCCGTGTCAACAAGTCGAAGAATTTCTGCACTCCTTCCTCCACCGGTTCGCCTTCGTCAATTCGAAGTGCCGCCATTTGCCGCTCCAAAACCACAGCCACCGCCGCTGTTGCAGGAGCGTGTACACCCTTGAGAGCAGCCCATGCCTTTGGTCCCTTTGCTGGTTCACGCTGAAAGGGCTTGATGTGACGGATTTGGCTGCTCCCCAACGCTTGCCCAAGTAGAAGATAGCCTTGTGCGCTCTTCCGCACCCACGGGCTCTTCTCCGGGTCGTTCTCGGGGCGCTTCTCCGTTCCTTCCATCACCTCCAGCAGATCATAGTGGTCAAAGATGTTCTCCATCTTGAAGGACCACTCAGCAAAGTTGTCACCGTTGAACTTGTCAAGGCCAAACACTCTAGGCTCATCCCTAGAGGGTCCAAGGCTAGGTTGCACCGGAGCAACGGGTGGATCTTGGTGTTGACCTTGTGCTTGGGCGTCTTCTCTGCCTCCAACACCTCTGCCACCCCCTTCCTCAGGCCTAGGCATGGTCGAGACAGCTCCAAGGGGCTCTGATACCACTTGTTATAATCACAATAGGCTTAGATGTGCCTATAATGAGAGATAGAGAGCACAGTCGGATTTCCGTCAGACGGCTTCAAATACTGATAACGATCTGGTCACTGAATCAAACGGTGATGTGTAAATTGGATCTGGAGCGTGTTGCTGTCGTCTATCAGCAGCAAGTTGAATCATGAAATTCCATGAAGATTTGACGACGCTATGGCGGTTTGACTGGCAGGAGGTATAGCAGCCACAATAGTCTTAGGAGTACAAACTTAGCAAGAAGAGTTCGAGAGGGAGATGGTTCCCAGCCTCTACATACCCCAAGAGCCGAGGTCCAGGTTGGTGGTACACCACCACAGGGTCCCCAACCATGAAGAGTCTCGAAACCAACCCTCCAAGGGGCTACACCAAGTGAAATGTAACACTACACGAAGTAACGTTACTATTTTCACTATTTAATATTTATCCGCGTCCCTTGGGCTTGAAATCTTGAGCTCTTGTTCCTGGATCTGCAAGATAAATTCTTCTTGAGTTGATGGGGGCTTGCTGCACACACCTGCGACACGATCGACACTTCACACTCGACAAAATAGAAAAAACACATGCGACACACAAACGACGACTTGACATGCGAGTTGTAAAAACTCGCTAATGTCTTGACCGACACAAACCACATTGTGATACACCATTCAAACACACACACAAGCACTGGATAGCAATGACATAGACTCACAATTCATTCCATGCCATGCATGCACACACACAAACAAGGACGACAAGCCGAGTGCAAGCCATAGGGTTGCACCAACAGGACTACATCGCAGTAGGCCTGCCCCACTACCTCACTCCCGTGATCCAGCGACACCTGATACCTATCCAATTTGCAGTTCTGATACCCATAAAGTATTTCGCTAGCGGGCGAACGTATATCGATTTGAGCTATCGGTTTGGCATTCCCAAAACCTTATGCCATAAACTTGTTGACATTTTCCTTACCACTTTCCCAAAGGTGTACAAGCGGGAGTGGGTGCGTTTCCCAACGAGGCGCGAAATGGAGTACATGGCAGAAGAGTTCAGATCCATCAAGGGCATCCGTGCAGTAATTGGAGCAATAGACGGCACTCACATCCAAATCAGGGGGATGGATGCTCACCACGCCGAATACTACACCAGGAAGTTGCAGTATGCAGTCCAGCTGCAGCTGACATGTGATGCTAGGGGTATCATATGGGAGTACCTAATCAGCACACGATTAGAGAGTCTTTATGAGCTCCTCATTATATCAACGACTACAACAAGGAGACATCCACCCCTACCAGCTAGTGGGAGATGCGGCGTACCCGCTAAGAGACATCTGCCTCACCCCACTACATGCTCCTCGGGATCGCCTCATGACGGACTGGGAGCAGCGCTTCAACTACTGCCACAGTGCGACAAGGATGGCCATCGAAAGGTGCATCGGCGCATACAAGGGTCGGTTTCGCCTTGTACGTGTTGTGTGATGTCATCATATGCTATCACATTCTGTCTGCCTCCCATCTCTTGTTTCAATTCGCATGTGTGGTTTGAACGTGTGAAATAATTTGTGTGGTGTGTTCTGGAGTTTGGGAATGTGTTTTGTATTATTTTTGTTTGAGCAGGTATTTGTGATGATAGATCTTGAGAAGATATTTCCGACGCAACAAGAATCGCTTCAATCGTAGCAAGAACGCGAAAGCTATGAAGATTCAAAGTTCATGAGCTTGTATTACAATTGCGGCGGTTACAAAAGTGAAGTTGTGGGGTGACTTTATATGGAGTTGGGACCTTTGGGGGTTGGGGAAATTTGTCACTCTACTGTAACAGCTGCAAATTGGTTGGGAACAACCAAGCTAGGTTGGCAAGGGTGGCCAACTTGGATGGATTGGTTGGGAAGGGACAAATGTCAAAGTTGGGGTTCCTATAGGGGGGAATCTTTGTGCTTATGGGGTTTCCTTGGTTGGAGACTCTCTTCAGACCTTCCCTCTCATCCCTCTCTTCTATCCCAACCTTTCTCTTGCTCCTCTAATTCCTTGTGAGATTCTTGAACTTTGATTGAACTCTTGAGATTGAGTTAAGTTCTCCTCCTACAGCTTACCCCCTAGTGCGTCGAAAGCCATAGCGTCGCGAATACTTCATAAATGAACGTGATTCGAATTGGGAACGGTATCTGAAATTAAGAGCTACAACATATCCAAGTTTCACGACATTCCAACGGCTAGTTTCTCGTCGACGTCGTTTCTTGTAAAGACGACTTTTCTGTCCATAATTTCGGATTTATATTTTGAGTATTTCTAGCTCCAAAGCACACCTAGACTCCGTCCTTAATCCGAACAAGTGGTATCAGAGCAATATTAAGGACATTGAGAGGAGTCTACAGAAGTGTGAAGACTCTTCTAGACCCACCATGGCCTGTGGGTGTGCCTAAGTGGTGTTCTAAAGGTTGGATGTGTCTTCCGCTAAGGGGAAACTCTGCCGAAATTTCGTGGACGCCGACACTTGTGAAAATATCGAGGGAGCTGAGTGTGGACAGCAAAAGGGAGCTGAAAATTCGTCATTTCTCATGGAGAAGATGAATGAGAGAGGAGGAGATGCTAATGGAAGAGGAGCTATAGCCGAGAAGACAAGTGAGCCGCCGCCATCAAAAGTTGAAGCTTTGGATGGCTCCAACTATGAGGAATGGAGAAGACGGATGAGGAGTGCCTTCAAACGCTACAAGGTACTGAAGATTGCTGTTGGGGAAGAGACGATGCCGGAAGAAGGCGAAGCACGCGAACAGTGGATTGAGAAAAGCGCGGTGCTTTTCGACCTCATCCTTCAATCGGTCAACAAGGAGATGTTCGAGCACATCAGGGATCTTGTGGAAGCGGATGATTCGGGTCCAAGGGCGTGGAAACTACTACGCGATGTGATTCAGCCCAACACTCTCCCGATGGTGATCGTGCTCGAGAAGGAACTTGCTGCCATCTCCATGCGACCAGGGGACGATGTGAAGCCGGTCCTTGACAAGATCCAGGACACCTATGCAAGGATGGCAGCAGCGGGCAGCAGTGTATCTCAGCTGCAGCAGTGCACCAAGATCATCTCGGTATTTGACAACTCTTGGGACAACCTCATCCCCACCCTCAACTCTCAGCAAGATCAATGGACACCTGAGTGGCTAAGGCAGCAGATTTTGCAGGAGGACTTCCGCAGACGCCATGTGGGAGGCGGTGCTGCCACTAAGACTGCTGAGGGGTATGGAGCTGCAGGGCGCGGCAGAGGAAGAGGGGGTTGGAGAGGCCGAGGCCGTGGGAGAAGCTTTGGCAGAGGTAGAGGCAGAGGTGACTATAATGAGGGGCATGGGAGCTCCAGTGGCTGGGGGAGTACCAGAATGGAGGGCACCTGCTGGTACTGCAAGAAGGTCGGGCATCCTTGGTTCAAGTGCTTCAGCAGGCCGGAGGGATGGGCACCTCCAGGCATGAAGCCGCCCAGTGGTGAACGCGCACAAGGTGGCGCTGTGCAAGGCTCAGATGCACAAGGTGAAGGTGCACAAGGTAATGCCTATCCTGGGATGTTTTTCATGGTTGAGGATGTGCATGGGCATGAGGTAATGTGGGATCTGTGGGAAAGGTTGTGATGCACCCTCTCACGCACTGGGTGATTGATTCAGGTTGCACCAGTCACATGACCCCACGGGCAGATTTGCTTGATGAGGTAAAACCCCCTGGGAAAATTAAGTATGTGGCAGCAGTGTCAGGTGCTTTGCTCCCTGTCATTGGTGTTGGAAATGCCAAGGTTAAGGGAGCTAATGGGGAGCTTGTGGGGCTTGGGAATGCTCTGCTGGTTGAAAGTTTGTCTGCTAACCTTCTCTCTGTGCGGCGACTGCAGAAGAGCAAGGCCGAAGTGACCTTTGGACCAACCAGCTGCCGTGCTAAGCTTGGGAAGAAGGTCCTGTTGAGTCTGGAAGAGGAGACCAGCTGCATCAAGGACCTGTGGCAGCTGCCCATCATCCCTTGGAATGGGAAGACTCCAACAGCAGCAACGGCAGCAGCGGCAAAGGCAACAGCAGGAGGAGATGCAACTGCACCAACTGATGGGGTCCTGGAAGCAGTCAAGAAAGTGCAGCAGCAGCTGACACATGGTGAGGTGCTTGCTGGTGTGGATGCGAGTGCGGCATGGGCTAAGGCTTCATCAAGGAGTGGTGAGGCCGATTGGGAGACATGGCATGAGAGGCTGTGTCATGTGAACTTCCCTATGCTGCAGAAGTTGGTGAAGGATGGGAGCCTGAAGGGCTTGGAGGTGAAAGGGGGAGTGAAGGAGATTGGGAGCTGCCGTACATGCTTGGAGACCAAGTTCTCCAAGTTCCCCTTCAACAGCACTACAGGACCAGCCAAGTCCCCACTTGCACTTGAGCACATGGATGTGGTGGGGCCCACAAGAGCCCTTTCCCTCTCAGGCAGCCACTATTTCTTGACAATTGTGGATGACCACACTCGGGCAGTGTGGGTTACCCTTTGAAGAGCAAGGGGGAGGTGGCAGCGGCTGTCCTTAAGAAGTGGATGCCTAGAGCTCAGAGGGAATGCGGACACAAGGTGAAGGTGATCCGCAGTGACAATGGTGGGGAGTTCATTGGAGCTGATTTTGAGGGGGAGTTGAAGAGGAAGGGGATCCAGCATCAACTGACAGTGCCCTACAAACCGCAGCAGAATGGCGTGGCTGAGAGGTTCAACAGGACCCTGCAGGAGGGGGCACGCACTCTCCTTGGGCGTGCAGGGCTGCCTGATCCGTTTTGGGTGTCTGCACTAAGGCAGGTCGCCCTTGTAAAGAACAGGGTGCTGGCTACAGTTGGGGATAAGGAGTGGATCCCATATGTCAAGTGGTATGGGAGTGCTCCAGCTGTGAACATGCTGAGGGCATTTGGGTGCATGGTGGTGTTTCATGTGCCTAAGGAGAAAAGGGGGAAGTTGGAGGCTTTTGGAAGATGGGGTGTGCACTTGGGGATTGCAAAGGATCACAAGGGGTGGCTGCTATGGGACTTGACCACCCACAAGTTCACAGTGTCAAGGGATGTGAAGTTTCTTGTGTCCGTGTACTACAAGGAATGGAAGCAGCAGCAATAGAAGCTTCCATCTACACCGCTCATTGTGGAGGCAGATGAGGTGCAGCAGCCTTCAAGACAGGTGGAGGTTGCAGTGTCTGAGGAGGAGACGTCTGGGGTGACTGAGCAAGGGGGAGCAGCTGAAGTGGAGCAGCAGCAGCAGCAGCATGAGTCTCCACCTCGAGTTCCACACCCGCCTGAGCGACCTAGGAGGGATGTGCGCCCTCCGGTGTGGCTGACCTATGGAGGAAGAGGCAAGCCGAACGTGGTGCAGGCTGGGAGTGTGGTTGACCAGATTGAGGAAGATGAGATCGCTCACTGCTACTGGGCACCAATCCCTGAGCCCAAGACTCGAGAGGAGGCCTTGAATGGACCAGATGGGGAGAAGTGGAAGGCGAGTGAGGATGAGGAGTTCGGGTCCCTAATTGAGAACGAGACATGGGACCTGTGGGACTTGCCTCCTGGAAAGAAGGCAATCACTTCCAAGATGATCTACAGGCACAAGTATAGACCTGAAGGGGAGGTGACCCGCTACAAGTCTAGGCTTGTGGCACGGGGGTTTCAGCAGACAAAGGGGAAGGACTATGATGAGGTGTTTGCTCCTGTGGGGAAAGGAACAACACTAAGGGTGCTGTTGGCGATAGCTGCTCTCCTGGGATGGAAGATACGGCAGATGGACATTGTGACTGCCTTTCTGAATGGGATCATTCTGGCGGAGGCGGATCATTGGAAGGGCATGAAGCTTGCTGGGATGAGTGTGCATTGAGTATGCATGCTTGAGATATTGGTATGGTGGTTGATGGTTGGCAGCCAGAGGGGGAGATTGTTGTGTGATGTCATCATATGCTATCACATTCTGTCTGCCTCCCATCTCTTGTTTCAATTCGCATGTGTGGTTTGAACGTGTGAAAGAATTTGTGTGGTGTGTTCTGGAGTTTGGGAATGTGTTTTGTGTTATTTTTGTTTGAGCAGGTATTTTTGATGATAGATCTTGAGAATATCTTTCCGACGCAACAAGAATCGCTTCAATCGGAGCAAGAACGCGAAAGCTATGAAGATTCAAAGTTCATGAGCTTGCGTTACAATTGCGGCGGTTACAAAAGTGAAGTTGTGGGGTGACTTTATATTGAGTTGGGACCTTTGGGGATTGGGGAAATTTGTCACTCTACTGTAACTGCTGCAAATTGGTTGGGAACAACCAAGCTAGGTTGGCAAGGGTGGCCAACTTGGATGGATTGGTTGGGAAGGGACATATGTCAAAGTTGGGGTTCCTATAGGGGGGAATCTTTGTGCTTATGGGGTTTCCTTGGTTGGAGACTCTCTTCGGACCTTCCCTCTCATCCCTCTCTTCTATCCCAATCTTTCTCTTGCTCCTCTAATTCCTTGTGAGATTCTTGAACTTTGATTGAACTCTTGAGATTGAGTTAAGTTCTCCTCCTACAGCTTACCCCCTAGTGCGTCGAAAGCCATAGCGTCGCGAATACTTCATAAATGAACGTGATTCAAATTGGGAACGGTAGCTGAAATTAAGAGCTACAACATCTCCAAGTTTCGCGACATTCCAACGGCTAGTTTTTTGTCGACGTCGTTTCTTGTGAAGATGACTTTTCTGTCCAGAATTCCGGATTTATATTTTGAGTATTTCTAGCTCCTAAGCACACCTAGACTCCGTCCTTAATCCGAACAGTACGGGGGTCGGCACGACTGAGACCTCTGGCGGGTGCTGGCTGGTGCCTCCTGTGCTTTCATTCTGCACAACATGATCAAGAGCAAGTGTGCAGTTAGGCGCCGGAACAGTGTGAGGTCGCTCATCGTGCAAAACAGAGACACATGGTGGACAAGGGGCGAGCTGGCGGGGTACGAATGGCCGGCATGCATCCCCGCCACGGCTGCGGCTCTAAAGGAGAGGCGCAAGCAACTGGGGGAGGCACTGTACGAGGCATACCTTACACGGGTGCGTCGCGATACCACGTCTCCACCCCTTCGTCAGCCTCGCTACGGGCACTGCCCTCGGGGGCCATGCCTGGGCCCGCGCTCTCCCTGGCACGCTTACCGGTGGGGGTCGGGTTGGGAGTTGCGCGCCTGCTGGTGCCCGGAACATGCAGACCGGGCTCTGTGAGAGTACGATCCCGTTACACTAATTTCCCCTTTCCATATTTTCTATCTATTTCATTCATCTTTTTATCCTCATTCATTTGGTCTTTATCTCATCTCATTTGGTTTCCTATTCCTCATTTTCCATTATCCTTTGGTTTATCCTGTTATTATAGTTATATCACCGACCAGGCTTGGGATGTACTGGCGCGCTATATCTAGCGTAATCCTGCAGTAATCCCTTATAGCCAATAGCCTCGCGTAGCTATACGCAGGGTGATTCTATTTCTAGAAGGGTCTATTTCCTTTGGATAGGATAAAGCTGGTTACCTGATGTAATCTGGAAGTATAAAAGCCCCTTGTACTGATTGATAGTGCAACATTGAGCAAACCTTTCCTCGGGACATTCGATCCTGTGACAGTTGGTAATCAGAGCCAAGGTTTCAGCTCAACGCTTAACCGCTGGGCCCCCAGGAGCACGCGGAGGATGGAGTCGAAACTTCAATTCCTGTAAGTACAATGCACTTTCATTTAAGTTTCGACTCACCTCTCGCAGTTGCACCTTGGGTCCCCTTCGAAGGCGAGACGCCTCGCCAACCGTTCGATGGACTGCATCGACGGTGCCGATTTTTCGCGGGGGCAAACGGCCTCGACCTGGCGAGCACGTCAATTCCGGCGGAACACTCCCTGCGACATTCGAAGAAGTTCGCAGTTCGCGACAACACTTGGAGTTGCGCGGAACTCTGCGGAGGTTCGACCGACGACATCCGTCCGATGGAGATTCGACGCTTCAGATCGACCGAGGCGAAAACGAAATCCCGCTGAGCGAGTTCAAGTTTCAGCGCGACTGGGAACGGGACCTCGCAAGCCGCGAAGTTTTTCGGAGCGTCCGATCGTTCGACAGCCGACATCGACAACCGAGAATTGCTGCAGGAAACGAGTCAACCGGGGCGCCGAAAGCTGCTGAACGCGACTCAGGAGTATCCTCAGATCACTTGGAGTTTGGACCGTCGGATCGACTTCTACTTCAACGGACGAGATGGAGCGCGACTTCTGCTTGAAGGGAGAATGACGCGCAGAACCAGAAATTGGCCGCCTTCAACATCGTTGACAACGTTTGGACAACCAAATTCGGACTCTTCTATTTGGTGACGAATATGGTGCGCAAATCATCTGCAGAGTCACAAATCTGCCAGAGTATTACCTACTTGGTAATATCTGCATGCAGAAAAATGATGGGAGAACGTGGATCGTGGGATCGTTGCGGAATCAACGGCACGAATGCAGCAGAGACTACACTTATGGGAAAACATCATCATGGAGACAACATTCGTGACCAGTGACTGCACAATCGACGCATCTTCTGACTAGTGTCGACAACGATCGATTTATTTTGACGAAGTCATCTTCGTTAAAAATGGATCGACATCAAGACAGCGAATCTTCATCCAGGAAAAACAATGGAGCTGCGTGAAGACATGTTCTCCATCCATGAGTCACTTCTTCATACAAATCGATCGACAAGCTATGGGATTGTAGAGAAGTAGCCGTTTTCTCTTGCAATGCTCCCAAGTTCAAGTTGCTGCGAAGGAGCAGATTAACGACGACGCAGTGAACCTGTCTCGTCAAGGCCAGCGAGACACTACTTCGTAACAGGAGCTGAACGATTCGTCTTCATAAAAAATCTCAGCCATCCGAAGTGATTGATTGGAGCAGTCTCAACATCGACCTCACGAGGCGACACACCAATCATGCGTCGCGATTCCAGGTGTTAATGACCTGCGTGGAAGAAAATTTCGTGCACGTCACGATGCTTGACAGATTGAGGAGTAATTAACCTCTAATCCGGCAAGTACTCGTTCACTAGCGACCCTACGGCACATGCATTGGAGGCGATTCTACCAGAAGCCGAAGCGTTACAAGCACCAACGTAACTCCGACGATGCAGGAGAACGTCAAGCAACACAAGGTGTCAACAAATGAGGGAGATGCGGACTACTACAACACGATCACGCGCTCTACCGACCGTACATCGGAGGCACGGATGAGCATACCAGGAATTGCTACCCGTGGATACATTGAGGGGAGAAGCAAATTTCTCTTCACACCCTCAAATGAAACAATCACCGGCAGCAATGGAGCAACACATGTGTACCAATGTGCACGTGTTCCTGGTAGTTACGCCTGTTACACCCATCTGGAACACTCTACTGGAAAGAGGGAGTTGATGGATTCTCCTTCAACTGGTACGAGTTGAGAGAATTCTCTGCAGCAGCTGCCGCCGTCGCCGTCGTCGCAACCACCGCCGCCGCCGCACTAGAAGACTCGACACAACAGTCACAACCAAATCCTGATGGATGATTCTCCACTCAATGGAGATAATGCTGGATTATATTCCAGTGGATCGTTAAGTCCCGGCCAGGCACAATACTATGATTTCCAGCTAGTGGGGAGGAGATACCACTATGCGAGGAAACAAAAGCTATGGCAATGCCATACACCCTCAAGAGCAGGAGATATTTGCTCTTATGAGGATGGGAGGACCACGGTACTCTACCGATATACAATTCCTCATGGCCTATGGCTTTTCTTAAAGTCATAAAACCTGCGTCGCAACCAATCCATCACCAGCACCAACTCCACGAAAGCAGATAGGCGTGGAATGGAGCACCGACGCCACTCCGGATAGTGGACTCCGCGTATCTCCAACAACACCCCTATTTGCCGAAATGGAGCAGACTTCAACACTGATGCTGAGTAGCTGAGACGTCTTCGACATCAACGGTACTTCAAGGAGAGTAACAGAATGAGACAACACATGATGGCACCAGAAGACCTATCCCAATATGTGCACCCAGACACCGATGCCTACCGATGGCCTCCGTGCTAAACTGGACGTGCAAAAGGTCATACTGGATTGGCTGTCACGAATGCTCATTTGGAAATGGGAGAGGACTATTTGGGAGTACCCCTAATATTCCCAAGTATCCTAACCCATCAGCGTGAGATATCTACGCAGCTGAGATTCCTTGCTTGAGCAACCACCGAGGGAAACTACTTGGCGCCGATTCTGGAAGTTACCAGCTCCACGTTCGTGGTACCAACCTCTCGCATGGTTCTGAACACAAGGGATACGCTGAGCAGCACTTCGCATGCGCTGTTGTACTCCAGGCAATGTGAGTAGCAGACCGCGTGGTGGACAGGGTTACTACTATTGATTCTGCTCTCCATTCCGCAGCACTACGATGCCGAGTGGGTACGACTCGCGACAACAATACGGCATGGACCAGCATTCGACAGAAGCTGCATGCAACGGATACAACACTGCTACAGAAGCAGTACTACGACACGAATGCCATACCACCAACACTTGGTGATCTTCACACGTGGACCAGATGCGCGTAACACCAGGATGTGCTACCCGAGACTCAACGCATGCTACAGTGTGCCAGTTAGAGCACCCACCGAAAGGACAGTGCATCCACTCCTCCGCTACAACATCTCAATCACGATCAACGCCATTCGCGTACCAGCTATAGATGCAACCCGCTCATACCACAACACCCGACAAATCCATTTGATCTCCGTTGTCCATCAGCTTTAACACCGGACACGCCACTTGGACATCCAGCAGCAGCAGAAGCACCTGGCTACTCATCACTACAGTTATCCACACCATAATATCGACATCAGC